CCTGTGACACCCTCAGAGGTGTGCTGGGAGTCTCTGTACACTCACACAGCTTGAGTATGTCTGTGTGTGCACGTGTAACATAAAAATGTTAGTCTTTGAATGGTTTGCTTAATACCATGTTTTAATACCACTTACATCCAGCTTCTTGGCATTGTCAGTTCCAAGAGGTGACTGAGGGGGAGCGGAAACTTTGCTTTCACCCAAAAATGCAGGGTTTTTTAATGTTTCTGTGTTCTCTAATGTTTGTGATAATTCTGTCACGTCTACTTCCGTTCCTTGTCTCTCACGTTCATTGCAGATACAGGTGGATAGTACTGTGCGCTGTTATTCTCTGAGGATTTGCGGTTGGGTTTTTCATCACCAGCTGTAGTACCAGTTGAGCTTTAAAGAAGATGCTACAATTGATGTTTGTTCTCCACATGTTAATAACTGTAGCTTTGCAAAATTCATGGATCATGTGTATGGCTCACACGTTTTCCTTCTCAACTTTTCTCTTTGCCTGTTCATTTGCAGGTGCAAACCATTTTTTTGTGTGTTTAGGAGGAGGCTTTGCTTCATTAACCTTCACAGAAATAGGATTATTTATGACAGTGATAATACCTCCCTCAGACTATAGGTTTTCCTGAGGATTTTTTAGTTTCTTGCTAGTTTTCTGAATCCCATCTCCAAAAAAACCCCCCAAAAGCTCCAGGGTATTAGAAATGTTTCCTCTGTATAACTAGACCTCTCTGGTGGTATTTTATTTTAAAGTTCAGAGGTATGCAGAGAGACTTACAAAGCATCACTACTGAGCACAGAGACATCAAGGTTTTGTTACTTGCAGATAACATGCATGTAGAGGAGTAACAATATTTCTTAATATTTTTTTACAGCCAGGGAAAATGTTTCTGATATACATTATTGACGACGTGTGTGTGCCTTACACCATCAGTTCAGCTGTTGCCTCTTGCAGGTTCGGGAATGGAAAAACGAAGGCAGCAAAAGATACATGTGTACCGGCCGGCCGGGCTGGTTGACGGTGTCACTCCGTGTTGGAAAGTACAAGAAGATTCACAAGAACATCATGATCAACTTAATGGATGTTCTGGAAGTAGATAGTGAAAGACAGGTAACAAATTAATCACAAAGCTTTCGTAATAGTGAAGTTTATGGGGTCTTTTTTTTACTGTATTTGTAGCTGAAGAGGAGATTAGATACCATAAAGAAAAGCAGTAGACCCACCAAATTTCAGGTTTTACAATGTGTGCTTGGATCCCTCTATCCAAAAAAAAACAGCATATGGAATTGCTTAGCTTTTGTGCACTGAAGTCTAAAAGACCAGATTGATTTATGGTTTTGAGGAGTGAGCAACAAGATGTTGAGGCAGAGGAGGAATCACTAAACAGTTTCAACTATTTTTAGTAGTGCTCTTGGGAAAGCAAGCCTCTGAAGTCTGACAACAGATGGAGGTACACTCCAGTTAGCCGTGTTTTGTCATCGTGATTGCTGAACACTTAATTTATGTTTGATAGGGGGAATTGGGGTTTTTTGCTTTTTAGATTGTTCGTGTGGAACCTTTGGTGACCATGGGCCAGTTGACTGCACACCTGAATCCCATGGGCTGGACTATTCCTGTGGTACCAGAGCTTGATGATCTTACAGTAGGTAAGGGACATTGTGATGACCGGAGACTCATTTTAAAGATTCCTGAAATATTCTGTTGAACCTTTGTCCTGGTTTTGGCTGGGATAGAGTTAATTTTCTTTTTGGTAGCTAGTATGCAGCTGTGTTTTGGATTTGTGCTGAGAGGAATGTTGATAACACTGATGTTTTGAGATGTTGCCAAGACAATCAAGGACTGTGATTTGGTCAAGGACTAGCTTTGCTAGTGTGCATGTACACAAGAAGCTGGGAGGGAGCGTAGCAAGAGCATAGCCCATAGCTACTGGCTTGGGATTCAAGTTTAGGTTTAGGATTGAGGCCCTGTCACAGATTAAATCTCTCCACATTTGCAATTTAGCAGTAATTTCAGCTTTATTGATGGTGTGAGGTAAATTAAAGGTTTTTAATAGTTGTTTAGTTTAAAGATCAACAAAGTGCTTCAGTGAAAATATGCTTTGATGAGGATAGCGACTTAATTACAGATTCAAGAATGACAAAGAGCGCACTAACTTAAAAGGTATTCTAAATGTATGTATATATGTATGTACAAAGCATGCAAAACAGACAAACAAATAATCAGTGCCAAATATATGGATCCAGTGAAATAGGTAAGTAGGGCTGCTAGTGTATATGAAAGTTTTCTCTTCTCCCTCTATAAGAGAGGCAGATAGGGAAGACTAGCCTATGGTTAAAAGTTCCCCCTTTCTTCTCAGGTCAAAGTAAATATACTCACAGTGCCTTGGCTTTCCTCAGCGGGCAATGGTTGAGCCTCGAGAGGCAGAACTTTGCCCAGGCCTGTTGTGTCCTTCGCTGGCCAGTGGTTCTGAGAGGCGTCCCACCCAGCTCACGGGAGATGCTGGTCACAGCCCGCTGCGATCCAAGAGAGGTCCAAGGGTCTGCCTTTTGGGTCACTGTTTGTAGGGTCTGAGATAATTGACTTTCGTCAGGTACTTAGTGAGAGATGTTGTAATGTTCTGATGGTTGCACTTGTTCCCACAGTGTATCATCCCTAGGCACAGATGAGAGAGGATTTACTATTGTCATAGTTTCAGGCAAGTACCAGGCACACTGAGGGTTGCTCAACGCTCTGAGTCACCACTAGCAAGGGAAAACAGGGATCAGAGATGCCAGGGAGATGCCACAGCCTTGAGTTCCCAGCTGCACAGTGTGTTCCTGTCTCGCCCTGTAGCCTTGGAGGGGAGAATCGCACCAGGCACCGAGCATCCAAGGAGTGGGGAGGGGGGTTGCACCACCATACAAGCACTTCCTTTTTTTTTTAGTACTCTTACAAAGCCATACCCAGAGCTTAAAAGTGGGGTTTTGTTCTTATAAACCACCTTAATTTTGGAGTGTGTTTCATTTGATTTGTTATGTGCTCTCATTAAGGTGGCCTGATCATGGGAACTGGCATTGAGTCTTCATCCCATATCTACGGACTTTTTCAACACACCTGCGTGGCCTATGAACTTGTTCTTGCTGATGGAAGCCTTGTGAGATGTTCACCAGTAAGACAAAATGTTATTTTGCTATCATTTACAATGTCGTTGACAGTTATAAGTGTGGATGTATGATTTAGTATGACATACTTTTTGCAGACTGAAAATTCAGACCTATTTTATGCAGTGCCTTGGTCTTGTGGTACTCTGGGTTTCCTGGTTGCAGCAGAAATAAAAATGATTCCTGCCAAGAAATATGTCAAAATACATTATCAGCCTGTGAGAGGACTGCAGAAGATTTGTGAAAAGTTTACTGAAGAATCGATGAAAAAGGAGAATAGTTTTGTGGAAGGACTTGTGTACTCTTTGGAAGAAGCAGTCATCATGACTGGAGTCTTGACTGATGAAGCTGAGCAAAGCAAGGTAACTAAAGGGAAAATACAAAGAAAAAAATACTCCCAAAGTTTAACTGAAGCTGTACTATATGCCAATATAAAATCAAAATCATTATAAGATAGTAGGAACAGTCTCTCAAAATGGGTTTAAAAGTTAGATCTGTCCATTGTAGTATTTTATATTACAGCTCTTTGTTGCTACAACAGAGTCTGTACTCTAAATCTCTTCGATGGATAAGAAATGACCCACTGATTTCATTATTCTAGCAAATAATTTAATCTTCAGCCTTTTCATTGCAGTACCTAAGGCGAAAGAGACGTAGCTTTTCTCATATACAGAACAATGCTGTTTTAAATGCAGTTATTCAGAGTAACTCTTTTCCCAGCAAGCTTTTAATACAGTTGGTAAAATTGGTAAAAACACATTAGGGATATTTACAGGAGGGACATGTTAACTCTTCACTGCAACCCTCAACCTGGATGTTTCTCCTCTGCCATAATGAAACTTTGGATTAATGATGGGTTGAGAGATCAGTATTTTAGGAGTCCAGTTCTGGCGGCACATCGTGGTGTCTTAATTAGTTTCTAACAGGCAAGCCTTAGCAAGTCTTATTTAATTTAAACCCTAATGGCAAGAAAGGTAAGAAGGAGCCACGCATGTTGAGAAATAAAGACTCCCTAGATCTGTTTTGACAGTCTCATTGAAACTGTCACAAAGGGTGTAACACTGATTCTTCACAGTAAAGGGACTTGGGGACATACTTCATGTTGTCCACTAAGGTGTAACTGTTACTGTGTCGGTGTTTGCTAATGAATACCTGTTTTCTTGTAGATAAACAGAATTGGCAACTACTACAAGCCGTGGTTCTTTAAGCATGTGGAGAAGTATTTGAAAGCTGACAGGACTGGAATAGAATACATTCCGTCAAGACATTATTACCATAGACATACACGTAGTATCTTCTGGGAGCTCCAGGTAAGACCATTTCCAAAATTAAAGTAACATCTGCAGGAAGGTACCCTGCTCTTTCCCAGTGTAGGTACAATGTACCTTCTTCCCCATGGCAGCCCTTCTGTCTTTCAGGTGGCAGAAAAAAAACAGTGAAGTTTATGGCAAATCTAAAAGTCCTGTATTTGGGCAAAACAAATCCAAAGGCACTTGTTTGTATATGAGGTGTTATTCATAACCTCCTAATTTCTGGTTTAGTGCTTTTTGGAATTTAGGACTTAAGTACCTACTTCAGCATTATGCTTTTATACCTACTAAGTGATTTTCAAAGACAGATGGTGGAAAAAACATGAATGTGAAATTCTGGCTGAAAATTCGCCCTGCCTAAACTCAGAATACTAATTATGCAGTGAGGTCATGACTTTGAATTTCATAAATGTGTTTGTTGTGATGTGCGTGTATGCAAAAAAATTATTTGGCATTCTGAAAGATTCCCGTTGCTATATTTTGAATCTCTGGAGTGAGGTACTGAATCCTTTCAGCTCCTGGAGAAGTTAAACACGAGTTGGCTGTGCAGGAAGTACTTAAAATTTTACAGCTTTAAAATGTTAAGACCTGATCTTATTTGTGTTCACACTTGCAAGAGTTCTGTAAGTTTACCTTCTTATACGCTCCTTCCTTAGCTGTTTTAAGATAATAGTCTGCTGTTGTCTGAATTTTATTGTCGGAAAGTATTTGTGGCTGAGTATGTTGTGATTCAGATGACTGAAAATCAATGGCTGTAACTAGAGGAGGCTTAGGGCACGGCTGTTCAGTCCAGGCCTCTTATTTGTTCATATTTGTATTATAGACGTTTAGCAAAAGTATCAGCAGTTAAATTTATTGAAAATCTGCCTTCATATTGCTCTGAGGATTCTGAAGTATTGTCTTTCGGTTCACTTACACATTCTTAAATCAAACTTTTTTTTGTTTCCTCTTTAAAGGATATAATTCCTTTTGGCAATAACCCTGTTTTCCGTTACCTGTTTGGCTGGATGGTTCCTCCAAAAATCTCTTTGTTAAAACTCACCCAAGGAGAAGCTATTCGAAAGCTGTACGAGCAACACCACGTTGTACAGGACATGTTGGTCCCAATGAAGAGCCTTGAAAAATCTATCCAAACCTTCCATGCTGACCTTAATGTAAGAACACAGGTTTTTAAAATGCAGCAAGTCTTGGACTGTGTGTAATAAGAACGGTGACTGTTGATCTTCAGACAGAATAGTCTGCTTGTGTAAAAGGTCATTATTGTGTCCTGGGGAGTACTGTACATTGCAAGTCTATGACGCAAGGCTGCAGAAGAAACGAACACAGATTTCTGAAAAAAAAATTAAAAATATTACAACTTTAGTAGAAAGCCAACACTTCTAAAAGATTTTATCATGTAGTAAAATGTGAACTTATTTCACCTAAAATGACTGGAGGTCTCACTAAACCCCAGCTGTGGGAATTAATTTCCCTTTCTTGCTTTTATTAGTTAATTGTACTTAGTATAAGAAGTACAAACTTGGCAATTTCAATTTAGGACTGACCTGGGAAAAAAACCTCTTCTTTCTCTGTTTACTCTGAATGTGTATTCAGTTGTTGCTTTAAGATCAAGGATTTTTTTTTTTCCATTTCAAGTATTTAAGGGGGAGGAGATGTAATTGTAGGAGGACACAGCACATATTCTGAGCATCTCGATCTATTTGTGTCACGGTCATTAGAAAGTGGAGCTAAGAACCAATGGCAAGAGAATTGGAAAGGAAGAGCAGTGGAAGTTTTGATCCCAAATTGGGAAGAGGTCCCCTTAACTAATTTTGTCACGTTTATTAAGAGATAGCATAAATGATTGTTTTGTTAAAAGTGAGTGATAAAGTGTTTTCTTACTTCTGCAGGTGTACCCTCTTTGGTTATGTCCTTTCATATTGCCCAATAATCCTGGTATGGTCCACCCAAAAGGGGATGAAGCAGAACTCTACGTGGATATCGGAGCTTATGGAGAGCCCAAAAGAAAACAATTTGAAGCCAGAGCTTCAATGAGACAAATGGAAAAGTTTGTAAGAAGTGTGCATGGGTAAGGATCCCGTTCCTTAGAGTAGTAATATTGCCATGTAATTTACATCTGTGTGGTTTAATCACAGTTATTTAATCCCACAGCACTTTAATATTGCAATAATTTAGCAACCACTACAATTGAAAAATAATTTTAATTACTAATTTTCATGTTATGATTTTTAAATATGATTTTACTAACATTATTTGATTGCAAAATGAAACAAAGAAGCACACTGGCTGAAGTTCTTGCAGCCTGTTTGGGAGCTGGGTACCTTCACGTCACCTGTGCATCCCTTCAGCTCCAGGCTGCTCTGGGAGTAGCGTCTCTGCTGCAACAAAACCCATCCATGCGTGCAGGTGCAGAAAGACCTCAGCAGGTCTGTACTGTCTGTCTATAAACCAGTAGCTGTCCAGAATCGGTGTTGGTGTGGTTCACTGACAGCTCTCGGCAAGGCTGGCCAGCCCAGCCCTGGGGAAGGCAGACGCTGAGCTTGCATGATGAGGCGGGCTTCTTTCAGGCTGGTTCAGAGCAGGGGCAGAGCTGTTTTGGCCGCAGCTGGCCACAGTCGCTCCAGGAATCCCACAGGCTATTAAAAGCTTGGCCAGTTTCCCTGCCTGTCCTCAGGACTGTTCTGCTCCCTGCAGCCTTGACTCTCCCCTGCCATCCCTGCACGGTGCTGGGAGCCTTCCCTCCCTCACGCCTTGTACTTCCATAGCTTCCCTCTCCCTGCCCCGATTCTTGTTACACAGGAGCGCAGTAGGCGTGAGGTGTGTGCCCACCATCTGTCACAGACTCATGCCAGCATAACTTGCTGTAGTGGTGTCAGTGGAGAAGCAGTTACAGACTTGTTTCTCAGCAACAAAACACAACTACATGCTATGTTTACACCATCAGTATAATTTATCCACATTTCTATTTTGACATACTTCCCAGTTTAACAGTGATTATATCCTATGTGGCTGAGTAACAATGGTGAGGCTGCTTCGAGATGATTTGGAGAGTGCAAGTGACTTTTAGCTGCAATAAATGATCTGCCAGAGAACAAAGCAATGGAAAGTTAATTTTAAGCTTTTTTTAATTACCTTGAAATTAAGCTTTTAATTTAAAGCTCTTTACTAACAAAGTTTCATCTCTTCTCTACCTGTCACTGGGAAATGAACAATGGATAAATGCTTAGTCTTGCAGTTTCGTAATCACACAAAACAATAGAGCTTTTATATAACAGTTTTACTGCTGTACTCTGATGCTAGTTGGATTTTACAGAGCACAGTTTAACAGGAAGGAAGAGTCACAGCTAAATAATTATTTCATTTATTTTTGTAAAAGGAGCTTTGTTATACTGTGCTTCATTTACACTATGAATTTATCATCTCAGCCTGGTCTGATGGGGCAGGCTTTTGCCTTCCCTGTTGTATTCTCAATGTCCAGTTCAAAGAAACTTTAAAAAGTCAAAGAATGTATTGCTACATCTGTCTTGAACACATTTTTGTGGCTAATACGAGATGCCATGACTGTACCTCCATGGATCATAAGAAAGCATGCAGAAAAAATACTTCCTTTTTTAAAAAGCTGAAATTAAAAGATTTTGAATGGAAGAAAAAGGAAAGCAGACTTTCAAAAGCAGTTAGGGAAGTGTTTGTCAGGGAGTATTTTGGTCATGTGTGCTTTTTGGTGCAAATTTGGGGGAACTATTGAAGTTCTCTCTAGACTTGTGTTTCTGTGAACACAAGTTATTACAATACAAGTTGTCAGAAAATTTGGCTGTACAAGGTTAGGGTGTCTAAACATGAACCACTGTTTTATACACATTTTTTAGTCCTTTTCTCTTTTTAGTAGCAAAACTAATGAAAGTGTGAATACATTAATAGCTAAAGAAGTGTCCCAAAGCAACAGTTATTTTAATTGCTTTCTTTTCCCATGTTCCTCTTCACCAAAATTACTGTAGCAGTATTCTGCTATTTCCAGCATTACATGTTATTTCCTCTCGGAAAAGAGATCATGGTAATGTTAAATCCACAAAATATAATTGACCAAGTGTCCCAGCATAATCCATGTGAGCAATTATATTTGCTTGTTTTTAAAAAGCATTTTAGATGGTTTGTTTTTTGTTGAATATTTGCTATTTGTAGCTCGCCCTGAATTTTTTTTTATATTCTATTTCAAATCTTGTGGCACAATTAGTATTTAATCTCCATCTCTTTTTTTTTTTCTTTGATCTTTTTTTTCCCCAGTTTCCAGATGCTGTATGCAGATTGCTATATGACCCGTGAGGAGTTCTGGGATATGTTTGATGGTTCATTATACCACAAGCTGAGGGAGCAAATGAATTGCAAGGATGCTTTTCCAGAAGTGTATGACAAAATCTGCAAAGCTGCGAGGCACTGAGCCTGAAAGATCTGTGTAATCAAGTGATCAGGGAAAGATGAAGTTACCTATAGCTAGTCAGTATATCCTTTAAAAAAAAAAAAGCTTTATTGCTCTCCAAATAAGCTAATTCTTGTTGATGTTTAAAGACATGAATTCCTGCTTTATAAATTTATGTTTAGTATTTCTTCATATGTTCTAAACCAAATTTTCCGAACTCAAAGTGATTGTTTTTAAGAAATCTTAAGTGCTAGCCTTTGTAGCTCATGTAGTGACACAGGTGAACTCATCTATTTCCAAGCGTAAACAACAACAATTGGAAAGGATGAAGATACTGGCGTTACACCAGCTGTATGCTATAGCTATATTTAACATTACTTTTGAGAATGGTAAGGAGGGCTCAGAAATAGGTGCCAAAGCTGAACGCACTGTCAAATTAATCGTGATGTTAAAAACATTTGCCTCCAGTTGGTAACCCGTATGACAGCTTAGCAATGGTACCATCGTCTTCCGGCTGCACGGTGCTGCGTGATGATGTGTGGTACTATCCTGCTCGGGTTACACCACACTCTCATCTCAGCAGAGCAGTTCAACTCCCCAACAGTGGCTTCCATTTCAAAAATTAGCATCGAGGTGTGAAGAAAATGCTTTTTACTTGTGCCTATCAGATTTGTACTGATTTTGATTATAAAGTATAAGTGGATGTAGGTTTGGGGTACTTTGTAATCGGCTAACAGTGTGTTTGTTGGTTTTTTTGCCTCAAAGTATCAATGTTCTTGCTTTGCAGACTACTGAAAAAATTGCTGCTGTTTCATAGAGACAAGTTTTAATTTCAGTTTTCACTCGTTGTAGGTCAGTTTATTTGGATCTTTTTTTGTTTTGCTTTTGGGGGTTTTTGGGGGGTTTTGGTTGTTGCTTAATTTTAGTGCCTTATGAATACTCAGTTGGAGGAAGACATGGGTTATTTCAGACCGTTCTGTCCTGGCCCGAAGGGAAAGGAAGTCAAGGCTTTATTTATACGAGGTTTGTTAGAGCAAGTGGATAAGTGGCTGTGGATAAGAACTCTGGTTGTGAATCTTGATACACACAGGCTTTGATTCTGACTCGAGGGACATTTCTGCTTTTTGTTTTAGCTGGATTAGGTTGATAGGCTTTGTAAAAGGACTGTTTCAGTCACCTGACGAGGAAAATAAACAGCAAGTACTGTTCAGTTCCCCCTTCTGCTGCTTGCTGGTGAAAATGGCAGTCACACACTTCATATGGTCAAGTGTAGAAATCTGGGAATGTTTTGACCCTGTAGCCAGAAACGTGGTTCCAAACCAAGCCCGTGTCTTGTCCAAACAGTGTTTAAAATTGTTACTTGAAGCCTTACTGAGCTTGAGAGAAAAGAAAGTCATTTTCTTGAGGCTTGCATAGTGGGTAACGGGAAGAACTTTTTAAACAGTTACCAGTGAGAGGTGTTGTAATTTTTATATGAGTGCTAAACCAATGATTTTATTTATTGATGGATGTTTGTGGTCCAGATGAAACCAATGATAAAGCAGTAACAAGAATAAACTTGGCCTGATACTCAGTGACGCATGCTGGGCAAATTGTGTGCAAATAAGATACCCCTTAAAATCCTGCACAGGGGACCAGTAGCAGTGGCAGCCTGCCAAGGGGAGATGCAGCTGACACAGGGTGGCTGCAGGGCCGCCTGAGCGCTACGTCAGTGATCCAGGAGCGTCTGCTACACCCCTCCAGGCTTCGGGGTACGCAGGAAGGCAAACGCTGATTCTCAGGGTGTAACCTGCCTTCCTGCTTCTGTCAGGGAAGCGGCACAACAGCTGTTTCCTTGTCCCCAGTGCAAAGCTCCGATTTAGCCCAGTGCTTGTAAGATAATCCTGCACAGAGCAAGGGAGGGTTTGGTTAGCTTTTAAGGGGCGATGTTAAAACAGCTAGAGGATATGCAAATAGTTTTACTTAGGCTGTGTTTCTCTCATGTATGTCCAGATGATCTTTAGGTATGCACTGTATTTGGTTTTTCACTCCTTAATTTATTGGCAAACTTTGTATGACTTTGTGATTGGGTACTGTACCTGTATCGGTCACACACGTGCACATGCATAATTGCTGTTGCTCTTAATTTTTGGTTGTGCAGGCTATTGAAAATAAAGATCTAGCCAGCGTACTGTCCAAAGTGGTGTCTTTTAATGAACAATTACTTACTTTTCAGCAGATCTGTTTATAATTCCTCATTCTTATTGTATTGTTACAAATGGCCAGCGCTTCCTGAGAAAAGCTGCTGCCTGGGTAAGAGACCACAGGCTTTGCGAGGTTGTTGGGAGATGAGGAGCCCAGTGCTGCAAACAGCTTTGAAGGAATGTCACTCAATGCTGTGAGTCTGCCTTATCTCTGCCCCAGGACACACCTGTACAAAACAAACACCTGGTAGCTGAGCCTTAACCCTTCACTTGTGCCCTACTAACTCCACATAGCCTCATGATGCCACTTGTCCTGATCTTTTTCTTTCCTCTCACCTCATTCTTTCACTTTGACATTTTGTCCAAGAAGGACAAAACCCCATTTTGGATTTAGGTGCTGCAGCCGTTGACATGGATAGCTGCTTCATTCTTCTCACTTCACACTAAGCAAACTAATCCCAGGTTTGAATGATCAGCCACAGAAGCAAGAACTAAGACTGAGTGCATTCTTCAGCCTGATGAGTTTCACATCCACATTGTTTCCTTAAAAAATGCCTTCACAGCAGCTCTGTAGGCTCAGCCGGAGGTATTCCTGCCCCTCCCTTGGCCACAGCTGGTGCACCCTCTTCCAATGCTCTTTTCCCAGAGAGAAGCTCCTGGGCTTTCTCCTGGGCCAGCTCCAGGCTGCCAAATGCCTCAGCCCCACTGAAACAGCAGCTCAGGTGCCAAAGCCCCATTTTCCTTTAATCACATTCTTTGTTGGCCCTGACTTAGGCTGCATTTCACAATCCTCTTCTGTTACCCGAGCAGTATTTCTGTAGTTTACACTCAGCCACATCACTGCTTGGGCATTTCCCTGCAGAGACCTTCCTCCTTTGCTTGGCTCTCTGGAACAACACTCAGTATTCCCCTTAAATCACTGCAGTTTTACCTGTGTTCAATCATCTCCCCCACCAAAGGATAATTGCAGGTTAATTAGCATACTTAATCAGCCACAACTAACATGTAATTACACCTAGATTTAATTATTCCAGTCTGCTCTAAACACTAGTACAAGACTTACAAAGGTTAACTCTAAGTGAACCGGTGTACTCCCAGTGCATTTTTGTGGCCACCCTTTGTTACCACTGACACAGCTCTCTCTCCATTTCACTTTCTCTGTTGCCTCTAGGTTTTAATATCCTACGAAATTTTGAATGATGGCACTAAATTCCTTTTTTTCCCCTCCAGCTGCTTATAAACATTTGCATTGTTAAGTGAAGCTATGCCCGAGGATCTTCAGCTGCAATAACACACCCACACCCATAACAGGTACAACAGGTACGTGCAACTTAACTGTAAGTAGTGTTTGAAAGGAAGTGTTTAACTCCGAACATGCAGACCTTCCTTCGGAGGATGCACAGTATCTGGCATCCTCTTCTGAAGTGTGTCATTTTTATCAAGGCCAAGGTGGAACTAACAAATTACTCGACAGAAAAGTTAGACTGCTGATTGTCTAAGAGTGTTTTATTACCACAGAACAAGACTTGAGTTGTTTCCTATCAACTTGCATGCCAGCACGCTGTATTTTCATCTACCCCATCTCATTCACTGGCGTATCTGCCATTTACTCACTGATTGGGGCTTCCCAGCACCATCTGATGTTTAGAAAACAGCAGTGAGTTCTCCAGAGGTATCTGGACAACGTGGAACAGAAATCAATTCACTCCAGTTGTTTTTAGCAACAGGCTTGAGCCGCTCCCTGTGGAAAGAGGATGCAATTCAGTCGGATCAAATTATTGGCTAGATTAATGTCATTAGTCTTAATGAGCATGAAGGTGAAGAGAGCTCCTAAAAGCCTGGCTATTCCCTGGAAAGCACAGCTGTAGCTTGAAAAGTGATTTTGGAGCTCATGCTATTTGATCAGAGAGATGTGTTTGAATTCCAAGTCCTGCTCCCTGTAAAGATTTATTTTTTTATTCCTACTAGAAGTACAAAATTAACAAAGCTGGGTGATATTGAAAGCTAGGTTTCATTACGCTTTCTCCATCATAGGACAGTGAACTTCTGGCTGCCCTGCTGAAAGCTGCCGAGTTATATTCATAGAATCAGGGAATGGTTTGGGTTGGAAGGGACCTTAGAGATCATAGAGTTCCACCCCCCTGCCGTGGGCAGGGACACTTCCCACTAGCCCAGGTTGCTCAAAGCCTCATGCAGCCTGTCCTTGAACACCTCCAGGGAGGGGGCATCCCTGGAGATAACCCACCCAAGTTGATGCCATCTTCCTCATCCAGAAGCAAGGGTCCACCACCTGTGGCCGCTGTTTCTAAGTCCTCTCTGTCTGCACTGGCAAGCCAGCCCTGAGTCCAAGTGAAAGAAGAGGGCCACTAAAGGGTAAGTGTTGCTCGAGATTCAACCCTTGCCATCCCAGTCCAAAAGCAGCAGTGTTGGCCCAGTAATTGCTGCCAACGGTCCAACTACCTATAGCAATGGCAAGCTTATTGCTGGAGTGCAGCACTGAGGGGAGCAGGCGATCTCTTCCTGCCTTGCAAACTTGCCTGGGACTTGAGGCAAGGCTGGAGAAAGGCTCTGCCAGCGGCAGGGATGGTCACCGCTCCATCCCTCTGTCTCCTGAGCAGGCAAGTGACAGTGGAGATTTGAGCCTTGCCGGCGTGACTCCTCTGTTTCTTCTACAGCTTTGGGATTAGGCTGGCATTTGCAGCTGCAGGTGCAAGTCCTGGAGGATCGCCGAGAAGTTTTGAGCCCTTTGTGAGGTGGATGGACACCCCTGCCCTGTCTGAAGTGCTTCTTCTGGGCGCAAGAGTGGGTGCCAAAGCCAATTGGACAAGGCTCTTGGGCAGGCTGGGAGGACTCCCTGGAGCAGGAGTGTGGCAACCAGTTGCTGTGAAAGAGATGGGCAAGTAGGAGGTTGTCCGGTTTCCAATGTTGCCTCCAGTAAAAAGAATGTCCACAGAGGCAGGGCGAGTCAGTGTGCTAGAAACTTGGGAGAGCTGCAGTTGATGGGATGATCCTATGGGCCTTGAATTCAAAAGAACCCCAAAGAAGAAAAAAAGCATGCAAGACAAAAAAGGAAAGAAAAAAGGAAAAAACCCAGTTTTTTGATGATGCTCTCATCATCAGCAA